CACGGTGTCTGCATATTGAGACCCTCAAAAATTCTGCATTGTTAGGGAGTCCCCTATAGAGGGCCGTCTGCAAGATGTTACAAAATACAAGTGTGAAACCTTGTTTGGCGTGAGGCTTTCCAGGTCCCTTTCAACGCGATTAAAATGTTCTTGACAGCGCAAGCGCGGGTCTGCCTCAAGTTTGGTGACCTTCGAGCGGCCAGCGTCAGGGTTCCTTGTGCAGAATGGGTCCGCGCCGCGCAGAATGGATGCAGCACGGGCACTCAACTCACATGAACAGTTGAACAATCGTTTGCCTCAAATGTCTACGGCTGCACCGCCCAGCATCCTACTGATGGCCGAGCGGTGCCTGCACCCATACGCGAGCGCCTGCGTTCTCATAATGGACACATTGCTATGGTAAATGAGTTACGCTGTGTGTCAGCCGTGATCGCATCGTTCCTGTGCAGTGGGCCGAGATGCACACCCGGTGTTCCAGCACTTCACTACAACAGGTTATGGTGCTGCAGCACCAGTTGGCTCGCAAGCAGTCTGCAGGATATGTGGGGTCCGCATGTCACGTCAGGCTGTGACATGCAGCAAGCACTTGTTCCAGACCTGCACACAGGCAGCTACAGCAGACAGAGCAGCTGTCGTAGCTGTGCTGGAGTCGAGAAGCCAGTTAAAATGATTGCATCCTCCGGAGCTGGCAGCATTCCAGGCGGTGCAGCTGCTGCGACAGCAGCAGCACGCGCAGCAGCAGCAGCAGGACTTGCCTCCAGATGTGGCAGCAGCAGAAGCAGCAGGATCACCAACAGGACCAGTGCAGCCTACTGCTTGCTTGCATCGCGAGATCTGACACATATAGAATACTGTGGGGCATTTCCAGGCAGCTTTGTTGCTTGCACAGCAAGTCACTGCCTATGCTCACCACTGCATATGCTGGTTATTGCAGTTAGCCATGCACACGGGGTAACCTGGTTACAGACAAACAGCACGCGCAGCAGCAGCAGGACTGTGCAGCAGTGCACTGCACATTGTTTGCAGATTCACACGCAAGCGCCTGAGGGGCACTGCAATGTTTGGGCGCGGAACATAACATGTTCCCTGTGCTCTGGAACTACTGCTTGCTTGCATCGCGAGGTCTAACATATCTAAATTACTGTGGGGCAATTCCAGGCAGCATTGTTGCTTGCACAGCAAGTCACTGCCTATGCTCACCATTGCATATGCTGGTTATTGCAGTCAGCCATGCACATAGGGTGACTTGGACAATCACAAACTTGAATGGACCCTGCATGTTACCTATGACACGACAGCACATCACGGCCCATCCCAACACGTAACACTCAACATGCCCTTCTCTCTAGTTGCCGCCGCTCCCGCTTTGCTTGCTTCTGGTAAATACGCAGAAAGATGGAAGATAAGACAGCCACCGTGCTTTGCTTCCTGTACGAAAAAGGGTTGACGCCCCGAAGCAACTTCACTGGACTCTGGGGTTTAGACGTGCATCCAGCCGAGCGATACAGAGAAAAGAGCCAGCGATGCTTACAGTGCCAACGCAGCTTTGCTTGAGGGGGCCGTTCGAGTTAACTTTGCTTCGCTTCTCCGGCTGGGTTAGAGTGCTGCTGCGTATTTCATTGTTTGGCGGTACATCGGTAATTCGGTAACGGTTTAGTTTAGCCAGATGATGCTCCATGGCCAGTTGCGTCCGGAGAGCGCCGCTGCGCGGCGCTGAGTGCTTTTCTGGCGGGAAACCAGCAGCAGCAAACGGACGACATCACCACGGTTTCTCGCACGAAACTGCGTCCGGCTAGACGAAGGGCGTTGCCAGAACTTGTCAATTAAGGGACTTTCGTCCCAAAACTTCGTCCCGACGAAGTGTTTGCGACCCCTGGCCGCCATGACGGCTACCGCGGCCTAGGCCTCTGTGCGGGTCACACACGGTGTTTGCCGCCGCTCCCGCTTTGCTTGCTTCTGGTAATTACGCAGAAAGATGGAAGATAAGACAGCCACCGTGCTTTGCTTCCTGTACGAAAAAGGGTTGACGCCCCGAAGCAACTTCACTGGACTCTGGTGTTTAGACGTGCATCCAGCAGAGCGATACAGAGAAAAGAGCCAGCGATGCTTACAGTGCCAACGCAGCTTTGCATGAGGGGGCCGTTTGAGTTGACTTTGCTTGCTTCTCCGGCTGGGTTAGAGTGCTGCTGCGTATTTCATTGTTTTGCGGTATTTCACCGATACCCCACCGGTGGAAGACAGCACAATTTGCTGTGTAATGCACACTTTAGCATACGTACAACAGCGTCCTGCCTTACGAACGGCTGCGCTTGCGGTGTACAAGAGGAAATTGCCGCTGCACCGGCATCCTGTGCTATGCCGGCATCGCACTGGCGCCGCGCTCTGAGTGCCTGGTGTCACTAAAAAAAACACAAATTTCAGAGAAGCTTCTGCTGCAGCAACTGTTGCTGTCAGATACCAGATACAACAGCCATGTTACTGTGTGGGATACTCCGCCAAAATGAACAGCAGGACGAGCTGAAGAACAGCCATGCTGCTTATCACAGCCATGCGAAGCAATACAAAAAACACGATCTGGCATGCAAGCAGGGTGCGCCCTGCCAAGGGCTACCAACTGACATGACAAACTACATCAAGCACTGCTAGTCCTTGATAAATTGTACAACTTGCGATGCTACACACATTGTACATTTCACAAACGACATGTGAAAACACAGCTGCAGCTGCACTGCCGCAGCAAAGCACGCCAAACAACTGTGTTGCAAGCTGCTACATCATCACTTCCTGAAGGACCTGCTGGTGCCCACAACAGGCAGCTGCGCTGACATGCAGCCCTACTGCCAAGTTGGCGACCTCTGCAGGGCTGACAGTGCACATAATGTGTGTGCACAGGTGATGAACACACTCAACTCGCTCTGTACTACCAGCACATGCCGATATTCAAACCTCAATTGTGCACATGTATGTTGAGCCTGGAGGTAGCAGCAATGTCACCCCACTGCTGCAACTTGAGCCTGCCAGCAATGCCAGCAAATCAGCCCAGCTTCTCACAATACGTGTGGATGGTACACAGCATTATCAGAAAGCAAGCAATGCTGGCGCTGCTGCTGTTCATTGCGTATTGCACCACACGCCACAATGCACCTGGGCACTGGTGGATCTTGCGCAAACCTGCGTCAGGACGCGACCCAGAGGTAAAGTTCAAGCTACACTGCCCAGCTGCTCCGCTAGGGGCACATAGCCTGCTCGCCTGCGCGCTACTGAGACGTGCTGCGGGGCCACCACAGCCATGACGGGGTCCGAGGTGATGCCGCAGTCGTTACCGTCGCCAGGGGTGCGCAGCATGCGGATGTAGCTGCAGGCATCAGCAGGCAGGCGCAAGCGTGAGGTGTTGACTCCTTCAAATGCACATCATACAAAAAACGAGCGGTTGACAGAACTCAAGCATTTGCAGGCTGCACCATCGCACAGAGGATCTGCCGGGATCACGCAGCTGCCATGGCTGGCTGGTAGTGCTGTGCTGTACATCGGTTGCCCCGGTGTTCTGCTCCTTGAACCTGTGCCGGGACGTCAATGCAATACAGCATATGTGCTACAACAAGTCTGCTGCGTGCCGTTGTAAGCCTGGTGTAGTCTGTTGCATGCCGCTCTGCCCTGCTGACGCGCAGCGCTACGGTGCCTCCCCTAGCCCCCCGCTCACCCATCCTCGCCCCAGTACCTGCAGGCAGCAGCAACAGCGGACAATATCAGGAAAAGCATGGCACGACAAACTGCATGCACAACAATTGTTCAAAGCAGCAACACACTGGCATGCTGCTTCTAGCAGCAACACAGAGTTAAAGGCCATTGTGGCAGCATGGCAATGCACCATCACTCCAGCGCAACAGGCAGGCACAGCCTCAACTTTCACTGAAATGACAGCCCATACACGTTGCGCACCAAGAAGCAGTCGCCACAATGAACACACTGCACTGCAAGCCAGCAAGAGGATGTGGCCTCGCCCTGATGCCAGCAGCAGTCCCCACTTACTTTGACCAGCTGTTCTTAATCAGCCAGTAGGGCACCACCTTCCTTCCTTGCTTCTCCTCCCCATAGCCCACTAGCAGCACTGCATGGTCCAGCTCACCCTGTGCCAGCAACGGCAGCCACCACACACATGCAAGACAAGAACAGAGGCAAGCGTGAGCTGTTAAGACCAGCAGCGACACTGCCTAAGATAGGCAACCACACAAATCTGCGGCAGGCAGCAGAGGGCATTGATGTGATGCATTGGCTGCTGCCTGCCTGCATGATAGTAAAGGACCCGCCTGAAGCAATCGACCTGTTGCTGCTGCTGCTGCTGCTGCTGCTGCTGCTGCTGCTATTGCTGCTGCTGGAAGTGTGAGAGGGCAGCTGCTGCAGGGTCAGCCCTGCTGACAGCAGCTGAGCCGCCAAGACAACCTGCACATGCTCCTTTTGTATGCACACATATTGCGCACATGCTCTTTTTGTATGCACACACATTGCGCACATGCAAGGCACACACATGCACCACATTGTCCGGCACCCCTGTTGCAGCTGCCCAACGCCTGCTGAACCAGCAGCTGGCACTTGGCCAGCCAAGCCCTCTTCCAGCCCCCTGCCCGTACCGTCCCGGCCCAGACTGCCGTGCTGTGGCCGCACCTTCTTTGTGAGGCAGTGCTTGGCGCTGTAGACTCCCTCGCTGTAGAACTTGAAGCTGGGCTGGCTGGCGTCCAGGCTCACAGCCACAGGCCCGTGCTTGGCCACAGCCCACATAAGTGCCACCTCATCGCGCTTCTTCACGTGCGCAAAGCCCTTGAAGGCAGCCACAGCGCTGAAGTTGGGCCGTGTGGCATTGAGGCTGCGCGCAGGTGGTGGGCCATGCAGGACGGCAGCACAGCATATGCTGGAGCCAGTTAAAACTCCTATTATATGCATTGTGAAGTCAGGTTCTGATATCAGGTGTTGCCGGTCTGCTGTGGCGTGTAAAACAGGTAAGTTGCGCTCGCCGGGAATCGAACCCGGGCCTGGTCCGTGGCAGGGACCTATCATACCACTAGACTACGAGCGCTGCTAACCAGTGTTGACGTGAGAGCCTCGAGGGAGCCCCACTCTTAGCCGCCACAGGAGTGCACACCATGTAACCCCTCTTCTCTCCGCCAGTTCAGCCCGCCCGCTGTACTGCACAAGTATGGCCTGCTGTCACCGACACTGTTTTAGGTTAGTCATGCTGCTTGTCCCAATAGAATTCTACACTGCGTGTTGTGAGTCTGACGGTTCTGCCTGCAGAGCCACGCGTCATGTCTCGCGCACAGAGGCTTTCTCGGGGTGGGCCTCTTTTTGGGTGACAGTCTGTTTTTACGCTGAACTTCTAGCAGCCCTCTTTGTTTTCGGGTGTTCGTTGCGACGTAGTCGCCTGTGCACACCATGTAACCCCTCTTCTTCGCTGTACTGCACAAGTATGGCCTGCTGTCACCGACACTGTTTTAGGTTAGTCATGCTGCTTGTCCCAATAGAATTCTACACTGCGTGTTGTGAGTCTGACGGTTCTGCCTGCAGAGCCACGTGTCATGTCTCGCGCACAGAGGCTTTCTCGGGGTGGGCCTCTTTTGGGTGACAGTCTGTTTTTCCGCTGAACTTCTAGCAGCTCTCTTTGTTTTCGGGTGTTCGTTGCGACGTAGTCGCCTGTGCACACCATGTAACCCCTCTTCTCTCTTCTCTCCGCCACAGGAGAGCAGCCCTAGCAGCCCTTGGGGCGGTTTTGAGGTTTTGGGAGTTGCTGGCTGACTTTGTTGCCATGTCAGCTGCCCCTCTTCTTCTTCTTCATGTCAGCTGCCCCGGGCAGTTGGCCTGGGGTGGTGCCTGTAGATCACCCCTTCCTGCGCGCTGATGCTGCTCAGTTGTGCGTCATCTTGGCGCTCCGCCCAGTTCGCTCCGGATGCGTCTTGTGTTTCCTCTGCTTATCGCTGTTTACATGTCCTGTCGTGTTCACGCTCCATGTACCGTGTGATGTGATGCTGTTTTCTTTTTCTGCAGCTCTTGCATGGTGGTGCGTGTTACTGTCAGCAACTAGGGATTGCAGAAGCAGAAGGGCCTTCAATTTCTTAGTGTGTCGGTTGCCTGCATAGTCCGTCGGTGGATTGATTAGTCTGCTTTGTTAGTCTGTCGGTTGCCATGTGTGCTCCTGCTTGCTGTAGTCTGGTGTGTACAGCAGTGCCTTAATGCCATCATGCCAGACGGTCATGGCAAGCAGCGCCTTTGTGCATTCAGCTTGCTGTTTGGACCATGCTTGCATTCCCCTGTGCGTTTTCTGCCTTGAGCACCTGCTGCTTTTCGTGCTGCATTGTGCACTTGCTGCACTGCATGTACTTGTTGGTTTAGGGGGAGATAGAGGCTGCGAAACGTCTCTGAGGTTTACTTTGGCGGCGTTTTGTGGTTCGCTATCGGGCTATCACGATATGTTAGCTGAAAGAATGGCAAGTGCCTCGCCCCTGGGTGTGTTGCTTCCCTCCCCTGTAACAAGCCTCTCCGGGGCGGCGCTGAAGCTGCTCAGTTGCGCGTCATCTTAGCGCCCCGTCCTGGCTGAGTTTGCTCCGAGTGCGTCTTGTGTTTCCTCTGCTTATCGCTGTTTTTATCTCCTGCCATGTTCATGCTCCATGTACCGTGTGATGTGATGCTGTTTTTCTTTTTCTGCAGCTCTTGCATGGTGGTGCGTGTTACTGTCAGCAATTAGGGATTGCAGAAGCAGAAGGGCCTTCAATTTCTTAGTGTGTCGGTTGCCTGCATAGTCCGTCGGTGGATTGATTAGTCTGCTTTGTTAGTCTGTCGGTTGTCATGTGTGCTCCTGCTTGCTGTAGTCTGGTGTGTACAGCAGTGCCTTAATGCCATCATGCCAGACGCTCATGGTAAGCAGCACCTTTGTGCATCCCGCTTGCTGCTTGGACCATGCTTGCATTCCCCTGTGCGTTTTCTGCCTTGAGCACCTGCTGCTTTTCGTGCTGCATTTCGCATTTGCTGCACTGCATGTACTTGTCGGTTTATGGGGAGATAGAGGCTGCAAAACGTCTCTGAGGTTTACTTTGGCGGCGTTTTGTGGTTTGCTATCGGGCTATCACGATATGTTCGCTGGAAAAAGGGCAAGTGCCTCGCCCTCGGGTGTGTCGCTTCCCTCCCCTGTAACAAGCCTCTTCCGGGGCGGCTACCTGCTAGTTGTGAACTCAATAACTCGAATAACTCAATAATTCGAATTCGGCAGCGACTAGGGATGGTGTTGGTAGTGTGACCGCTGCGCAGCGTATACTTTGGAAGTTGCGCTGGGATTACCAAATCAAAGAGGTGTTCTGGCGTGTGGTGTTGAATGGTGTGCCTACTGCTGCTCGCACGCCGAGCGTGCAGCGTGCTTGCTTGTGTGGTGCATGTATGCCTGGGTATGACCACCATTACTGGCACTGCCCTGTTGCGCAAGCGGTGGTGCAGTCCATAGTGGATAACTTGCCTACAGCATGGTGCACTCGCACGCCTGGATCCTCAGCTTTAAGCATGCAGCATGTTTGGCTCATGCAACCGCCGCGTGGTGGGCGGAGTGTGCTCACATGCGTGTGGCGTGTCGTGTGTTTGGCGGCCTTCAATGCTATGGATGTTGGCAGGAGGGCAGCCAATCTCCAGCATGTGCTAAACAGGCAGCATGTCTTGGTTGCCAGTCCAGCAGGTGGCCCTGCCCGGGCGCCACCTGCTGACCAGCAGCTTATCACTCAGTTGTTGCAGCCTGCTACTCCCTCAGCTGCGCAACTGGCTCATAATGAGGCAGTGAGACAGCACAGAGAGCAGCAGCAGCTACAGCTTCAGCAGCAGCGACAGCAGGAGCTTGATGAGCTGGTGCAGACAAAGAAGAAGGCGGCAATGGCTAAATTTTGGGGGGTGCTGGTGGGCTTCATCGTCATCAAGGCGGCACCCTTGGCCTGGCTGGATATTGTGCCAGCTGATCACCCCTTTCTACGCGTGGTTGACGGCCGGCTGCAGCTAGCACCAAGAAGGGACTTGGCCTCTGCGCCATAGCGTGAACTGGGGTTATTTCTTGCATCCTCTGCTCCTTTATCCATTCTGCTACATGTGGTTGCATGTCTTGTGCTGTTAGTACTCTCATGCAGCCTGTGTCAGCCAGTAGGTGTGTTGGGCCAGTGCCGTTGCCTGGGGTGTGGCCTTGCCAGACACATCAGTAGGGTGGCAGGTGCCTGTGGTGCCACGGCGCTGCGGGTTATGCTGTTGCTTTGTGCGCGTCCTAGTAGCAGAGAGTTTTGATCATGTTCATCATCATGTGGTACAATGTCTTCAACACCTGAAGCAGGAGCACCGAGGTGCCCAGTACCTGCTAGTTGTTGCCATGTCTGCATGTTCCGTTCCTATTTCGCTGACGTTGACACCTTTTATTCCGTCCTGATGCTCTTTCTCTGCGCAGAGTTTGTGTTATTTTGGGTGAGAAAGCTGCAAATTGCTTCTCTGAGGCTTTTTGTGGTTTATTCTCGTGTCCTGCGCGCTGCAGTCCTCAAAGTGTTCCGTTTCCGACGTGCACACCCATGTAACTCTCCTCAATCAAAAAACTTGATCAATCCATTGGGGCTTCCCTCCCCTGTAACAAGCCTCTCCCGGGGCATCCGTCGGTGGATTGATTAGTCTGTTATTTGCTTTGTTAGTCTGTCGGTTGTCATGTGTGCTCCTGCTTGCTGTAATCTGGTGTATACAGCAGTGCCTTAATGCCATCATGCCAGACGCTCAAGGTTGTCCCGCGTAAAGGCGCTGTCCATTTTTGGCAGAGGTATGGGCAGTGCATCATACGGGGTTAGCAAACTCTTGTATGCTGCAGAGTTCTCAGACCTGCCCTCCGCGCAACAGTGTCAGCATCTGCAGGCCAAGGTGGCCAAGTTGGTTGACAGGGGGGTGGCACCCTCGGATGTCACTAGAAAGTTCACCAGCATACCTGCGCGACTTCTTGTTGGCAGACCAGCCGATGGTGGCTTTGGTGTGTTGCCTTGGTATGAGCATATGATTGCTCGGCATGCGTGGTGGGGGGCGTTCTTTGCTACTGCGCCTCATGACACAGACATTCCATGGGTCAACATTGGCAGAGCTTGCCTGCGCTCCGAGTGTTGTTGGTGGGGCCCTCTGGCTCTTTTTGACTGCGCAGCTGACACCCAGTCACCAGCTGAGTGGGCTGGGGTGCCACCGCCACCTTTGCGCCGCATGATCTCTGGGCTGCAAGCACTGGGGGATGTGTGTGATGTGCAACAGCAGCAGCAGCAGCAGCAGCAGCAGCAACTGCAACAACAACAGCAACAACAGCAACAGCAGCAGCAGCCAGCGCTGCCGCTACAGCAGCAGCAACCGCCGCCGTTACAGCAACAGCAACCGCTGCCGCTACAGCAGGAGCCAGCGCTGCCGCTACAGCAGCGGCAACCGCTGCCACAACAGCAGCAGCAGCAGCAGCAGCAGCAGCAGCAGCAGCAGCAGCAGCCATTGCAGACGCAGCCGCCCCTGCCTCCAGGGCAGCAGCCCCCAGGTTTGGGCCAGCAGACGGCTGACCTTTTGCGCCAATTGCGCCAGCAGACGGTTGACCTTTCCAGTGCCCCGGTTCTTCAGCCTGGGCCTTGGTGTGCTTTGGCCCCTGTTTCTGCCAATTGTTTCCTGCTTGGGGGTATCCCTGGTGCTAGGCCGGGTGGTTTGCATGTGTTGCCTGTTGCGCCGGCTAGAGGTGCATTCTACTACACAGGCGGGAAGGTCAGGCCCACGATTCGTACACTTGGGGATTCGATTAGTCTCATCGTGTTGTTGAACGTGTGGTACAAGCCAAACTGCCCCACCCTCTGATCCCATGCAATAGCAGCAATGCTGAGGGCGAGTTTAATGACCTCAACTTGCTGCTTTTTAATGTGCCTCTTGCATGGACACAAGCTGCTGCAAGCGAGGCAGCAAGAGCAGGATGGCCAGCTGTTCTGCCTTCCGCTCCTGCAGTACCATCTGAGGCAGAACAAATTGTTGAATGCATGCTGGTCTCACAGCTTGGCTGGTACTTGTTGC